GAACAAAAATATTAATACATTAATTATTTATTTCATATTTAATAAAAATATATTATTTTTATAAATACAAATAAGTTATTATAAATAATATAAAATCATTTTTCATATCATTTCAATTGTCTTTTCAAACGTCTAGCTTTTATTTCTTCCTTTGCAACAATGTATTCTTCGTCTAATTTTTTTTCTATAACATGTATTAATAATTAAAGTAATAAATAAAAAAAATTATAAAACAAAAAAAAAATACTTTTTTTCTTTAACTTTTGAATTTGCATTTCAACATCGATCATTTCGTCTTCAATTTGATCCATAGAATGTTTTTTTTTCTCATCATTCTTATTTGAATTTGTTTTTTGCAAAGTTTGTTCTGTTGGCAAAGTAGCTTCGAGTGAGGTTTGTTCTGTTGGCAAAGTAGCTTCGAGTGAGGTTTGTTCAGTTGGAAAAGTAACAGAAGTTTTTTCTGATGGTGTATTAGACATTTTAAAAAAAATATATACAGTATTTTATGACGTTTTGAAAATTTTTTTTAAAAAATTTTCTCAAATTTTTATATTTATTTTTTACAAAACGTCATATTCAAAAAGTTTAATTACATAAACTTGGCAATTATTAAATAAACTTAAAATCAATAATCCTATTTTGTCTTATAGTTTATCAAATTAAATCATGTTAAAATTTTTATTTTAAGACGTGTTTCGTTTGCAGATAATATATAAAAATTGATAATCCTGAAACGCGAAACATGTAAAATTTTCTAATATTTTTTATTTTATGATTTACAAAATTACTAATTAAAAAAACTATAAAAGGTTTCAATTTCTTCCACGGAAGTTAAAAAAAAAAATACTTAAAAAAATACATCAAAAAAAAAATTCAATGCGAAAAGCTACACGATTTAGACATACTATGTCAACAATTTATTATTGTATTCCCTGTTCTAAACAATTTTCTTGTAAAAAAACAATTTCTGAAAATGAAAAAAAAGAACGTGAAGAAAATTATGAAAAAACAAAAGAGATTCCAACATGTT